ACCCCTCCCCACCCCACCCCACCCCTCCTTTCTACTCGCTTTATAGCTCAGCTGACGTCATCTGGTTCAAAATATCCCTTTGGTGAGTTCGGGTCAGCTGTCTTGGTTGTGTCCCATCCCAAGTTCCTGCCTCCCCATCCCACTGTGTGGGAAGGTTAGGAAGAGCCTTGGTGCTGTGCCAGCCCTGCCCAGTGGTGCTCACAACATGGGCGTTAGCAGCACCTTTCTGACTCCCAACACAACAGCTCTGCACCAGGAGGACTGCAAGGTGAAAATCAGCTCAGCCAGACCAGATACGCGAAAGATCTGAACATCCACTTACTAGCAAAACAATGGTCTTGTTTTGTGAAACAGGAGTGGTGAGGTTCATAGAAGCATAACTGTTGCGGGGAGCCCGGAACCAAAGACAGACTTCACAGAAGGTTTATCAGTGTTCCGCTTTAATGCGCACAAGCTGCTGTATTTATACACTCAGTGACTGATCACGCATAGTTTTCACACTCAGATTGGTTAACACTGCACAGCCACACTCTAACCCCGTACCCCAATAGGTTAAATGCCTCTGTCCACGCGCTGTGGCCTTTACAGGGTGGTCCCTGCTTGCAAGTTCCTGCCAAGCCTTTGATCTGCGCAGAAGCTGCTGAGCTGTCACCCTTCTCCTTCCTGCCTGTGGCTCAAGGACACCGTGTCCTTGCAGTTCACCTCTAGTCTTCCATCATATCCTTCATAGCCTGGGTTGCACATAAAGGACTCTAGGATGCCATTTTGTGACGCAGCTAAAATTCCCTCTACACATAACTGTATGACCACGTGATTAAGCGCTGTGCCATGATCTTTACACAGCACTCAACAGTGTCATTTACTATTGTAAAGACAACCTTTATTCTTCCAGCATTTGAATTTTCTATTTGCCACTTTCCATAATTCTTATGTAGATCTCACGCTCAATTTGCAAGGCAGGAGTCCTTATTAGTATAACTAAATTTCTGCTTTATTCTCCACAGCACACTATGCACATAATGCTCATCAAAGACAAGACGGGCCAGAGGCGCTTCCATTTTTTCCTCTGAGAATGGAGTATACAATAGCTATTGAAGCAGTTCAAGCTCTGTCTTAAGCATGGCCCAAATTCAATTCTAAACTGTCTTAAAGCAAAGCCATTTGGACAGAGGAGCATGTTATGTTATGCTCTTTACATTCTTTCAATCCATTTTCAGTATCAAATGCTGAACTTTAATACTGGGTAGGAGCTTGCAGACAGCTGGTGGTCCAGTCATTTCAAAATGTCACGTCCAAATGTCATCCATAAAAATTTATTTCCAAACTAAAATGCTGCATATTTTTTAATGAAAACAAAATATCTGATTGCTGCACAATTCATTCTGCCCTTTCCCTAAACCATTTCTGTGTCTAGCTGCCATGCTGGGCTGAGAGTGTATGTGTCTCAGTTCAGCAGATTCTGATGAAAACCTGGTTAGCACATCCTGGAACATGTCTGTGGTGTCTGCCATCATTCCTTTCAAGATCTGCCATAGCTCCCACACTTCCTGAAGTCCTAAACAAGAGAGCACATTTACCACATTTGTTGAAGAGCCAAGGTAAAACGTCCAAAACAACATGCTGCTGAGCCTGTCTCTCCTGTAGGCCTCACCCAAAGCCATATTAACTAACTGATGAAGTCATGATTCCCTGACTTGTTTCTCCTGCAGCTACATTAATGGAGAAACTGTGACTGTGGGTTCACGACATAGAACACACTTTCAAACTTGTATGCTGCATAAACAATCTGTTCCTACCAATGCACTCAACATGCTCATTTCTTACTCTTTCATATGAGAGTGGAAATGAGCAAATATTATCAGGGACATCTCTAATACTTAAAACTTCATGGATTACATTCATACCTGCTAACAACTTGCATGCACATACATACCAGACAGAATCTCTGTCAGTTTTCTTGTTATCTGTATTTCTGCTTTTATTTCAGTTGTCAAAGAAATTGAGGTAATGTCTAAATAAATAGTACAGAGAAAATAATGTAGCACTCCTATTCTCTCAACATTATTTCCACATATACAGAGACAGAGTCTCGTATATCATCCAATTCATCTCTTTGTCAGGACAAAGTATTCTCTCTTTTATGGAACTCTTGAACTTAAAAAAAAAGAGTGCTGTTCCTTTGTACAGCTTTATCTGTCTTTTCTGCATGCTACCAGAGATTATTCCCAGGAGGAAAGAAAAAAAAAAAAAAAAAAACAACACAGGAAACTGTTTTTAGAAGCTGGGTGCACACCCCAAAGCAAGACTTCCTATCACTAATCTTGAAGGTAAACCACCACGTCACTACGAAAGCTACAATCCAGAGCTCTAACTGAGGCCCAATAACGTTCCTTCAGGTATCTCTGTTTGCTCTCCCTGTGAAGTCAACCCTTTGCTGTACAGCTCAGGCATCACTGCATTTCCAAGACATGTCACCACCCTGTACTCTGCTGACTCAACAAAGTCTTGCTAGATGACAGTATCCCGGGGAAATCCTAGCTGACGGGATGTCTCATCCAAGCTCAGGCTGTATGCATCCTGCTTACAAACATGTGAATTCTAGTTTAGATCACCTTCCATTTCAAACAGAGGGCATCTCAGATTTCTGAAATGCTTTTACAGCAATTTTCCACACAGCAAGAAAAAAAACCCATCTACATCTAGAAAAAATTCAATGGTCTAGCAGAAGAGACAGCAACCAGTGAAAACAGAGGCATTAGCTCATCTGCCTGCAACTCATATTCATTACTCTTTTTTTTCCCCCCTCATGTCTAATGCAGACCTATGTCATTGCTTAGAAACAGTTTCACCTATAAACATATACTAAACAGATACTGTACACGTTAGTATGTTCATATTAATATATTACACTATCTTTTTTTTCATTAAATACATTATAAAACAAACAAATTTTGACCAGGTAGGAATCTGTCTGTTTGGTAACTAATACCTTGTTTTAAATGATCATATGAATACCTTATCTGGCAGTGTCACACATAGACAATTCCCTGTGAGTACTTTCCTTAGAAGCATAATCCCAGATTTATTTGCAGCACAATTCTTGATACCTCACTACAAGATGCACTATGCCACCAGAACAATTAATCCTTATCAGTGTTTTGCTCCTGAATCATAAGGATTAGGTCAGAAGTTTGGCCCAGTACAGACATAGTTTTATGAGCAGCCACTCTCAGCTCTGTGATGAGACTTGGAAGCTTCCTCTCAGAGTATGTTCTTAGGGCACTGTAACCTACACATAGGTAGGTACTGCACAGAGAACATCACTTACACTGAGCAGGAATTCCTCCTTCCATCTACAGGCATTTTCTGTCGTTCTTTGGCATTTGATGTGAGCCAATGCAAAGGTTTTCATAATCTGAAACCTCTCTTCCAACCATTCCTCACATTTCTTTCTAATTTGTCTGAGATCCAGGACTTGTACTTGAAAAATAAAAGTTATTCTAAAGAGACAGGTGTGACCAGGTCCTGAGGGTGAGGCAGGAAAACTGCCTTCTCTCTCCACACATCAATCTCTAAAAGCTAATGTATGGTAATAGTGGGTTCAACTACCTTAAATTAAGATCATTTATCTAGAAAAGTTTTATTTTGTACATTTCTTTTCAATCTCATTCTGAATCCTCACAATTATTTGGTTCCTTCTCATGTCAAATTGTATCCTTACAAGAACCAACTTAAGTAGAAGAGATACTTTACAATGGTTAAACCCCTCAGATAAATGAGGCTCTCTTTCTCTCAGGTGAATCCCCTGTGAGTAGTGGAAGCCTAAATGTGAAAATTACAGTAGACCCATCCCATTTCACCTGTCAACAAAAAGAAAGCCTTGGAAACAATTCAGAAGATACCTGGACTGTATTACTCAGAAACACTGAATTATGACACATCTCCAAATCACAAATGGAAGCTTGGAAAACACCTCCATTTAAAACAACATGAGTGTTTAACAGATGATGAGAAAAAATTGACATTTTTCTTCCCTCAGCTTCATTCTCTATTTCAAATTTACAGGGCTTTTCTGGGTGGGAGGTGTGTTTAAATAGGGACAGAGCTCAAGGGACAGTGCACAAGATTAGACAGTTCAGTGTGGCAAAGCAATTACCTGTCCCTATCCAGGTGCTCACAGAACTGGTCACAAATAAGCTGAAAACAGTAGTTCTCCACTGAGCATTATGAGTTGCCCAGTGTGTGCTGAAAGCCAGATCCTTACCTTGTCTCGAATCCCTTGTCTCATAACTTCTCTTTCAGCCTCCATCTTGGCATATTTGGCTTTCCTCTCTTCCTCTTGCTGCCTGAGGGCTTCCTGCCTTTCCTCTTCTTTCTTGGCAGCATCTGGGTCTTTCTCCTCATCCCCACCTAGCATCTTCCCCATGTCTTTGGTAGCCCCTAGAGAAAGCACAGGAGAAAGTCAGACCTGTAAGAATGTAGAAAACTACCATGATGCCTGCTGTCTCCTTCTCCACACTCAGGTCTTTCTTCTACTCCCTTTGCATCTGGAAAGGTTTCTCCTTCCACTGAGAAGGAGATGCACTCCTGACAGAGGCAGGAGGTGGGCAAAGCACCCAGTCTGACCAGGTGGGTTACCTGGCACTAGTGGGAGAAGCACATCAGCAAGAAGAGACTACATCTGTAGACTTGTATGATGGCAACAAAATTGTTCCGCAGTCCTCAGCGGGGTAATCTGAGCCATCCACACAATGTTTTAATTCCATCAACTCAGTCGAGTGACTGAAGATTGACTTTGGAGGGTCTTTAGTGTAAAGGCAGGTGACACATCCAGAAAGAAATGATACCAAGGCTAGGAAAGGAATTTGAAATCTCAGTTGCAGGGTTAAGCAAACACAGTCTCAATTGAATTGTTGCCAGAAATTACACATCCCATGACAGGTGGGAACACAAAGTGCTAGCAAACATTTTGCAACTGTTGATGATTTCTAGGCTCCTACCATGGATCAGATCAGCAACATCTGTGATTGTCTCTTATATACCCTTAGACACCACTGACTAATGCTTAGTACATAGGTGTACCTTTTTCTACCCCTGCATGCACATTGGTCCCTAATTTTCAGCCCGTGTTCTCCTGAGCCAGCTTTTTGCTATTGTGCAAAGTCCTTCCACACACATGCTACTGTCACTAGTTCCTGGGTCAGGACAGCATCCGACTGGCTCCTTGCTGTCTGAGACTTAACTGAGTTAATCTGAGACAGCCTTGTTGTGATACATACTCACATCTACATATGGGTATACAATGTAATGCCTCTTGCCTTGCATAAGACAAACTTACATGGCCTTTTGCAAGGCTTAGGCTGGAAGGAGACGCTGTCAAAGTTCTTCCAAATAATTGTTTGTTTGAATTACTAGAGGCTAAGTGAACGGAAAGAGGTTTTTGTCATTCCTTATGATTTCCTCATAAATTAACTCTTCAGTGTGTCAACGGTGCTGGAGGACAGACAGTGTTTGTTCTTGCTTTCCATGTCACTTCTTAGCGTGGAGATGGAGAAATCTTGATTCTTATATCTGCAACCTGTCAGTATGATTCTTTCTGAATTGCCTCAAAGATGACACTTATCAGATAAACTACTGTCTCTAGCAATCACCAAGGAATTTGTTGGTAGGTGAGTAGATCCTGTTTCTCTTCCCCTCCACATTTCCTTTCCAAGTCACAAATTTTCCCAGAGCCCTAAATTAAAAGCAACCCTGAATCAAAAGCAATCCCCTAATTGCCCAAAATGTGACAGAGAAATGGCCCTTTCACATCTTCCACAGAGAAGCGTGGGAAAACAGATAATTCTAAGGCTGACAAGATCTGGTTGTTACAGATTATTTTCTTGCCAGGTGGGAAGTAATAGCAGTAAACATGTCTGTCTCCATTCACCTAGCTAACCACAAGCCTCTTGACACTTCTACCCTCTTGGGATACATACAGATGAAAAAATGAAGACACCCAAGGACCCCAAACAACCCCCAACTGGAATAGTCATGGTCCCCAGCTGGAACTCATTAATTTTTAAGGGCAAATTTTCTCAGACCATCTGGTGATTTCTTTCCTGGGGTGCAAGGAAGGCTAAGTGAAATTGCAAGCAAGCTAGAATTTCACAGCAAGTAGGAAGGCAACACAGACTAGCTGGGTCACACACACTCCTACTGCAAGGACCTCCCTAAGCAGCCGTGCCATGCTTGAATCATTGATGACCAATCACAGTAACACCTTTCATTTCTGGATTCACCTCAACACATGTTTCCATTCATGATTAAGCTGATTTGGGTTCAATAATCTATCCAGTTTATCTCCTTCTAGCTCCTCTCCACTTAGAGCTACCCAGACAGTGTAATACAAGTCACTTACAAAGGAGATTTCAGAAGCAGAAAGATACTATTTTCCCTCAAAGCACTGCTTCTGGGCTATCATTAAGTTATAATGTCAGCTCAGCTCATCACATGAGGAACGAGATTGTGTAAACTTTCTTAGACGAGAACAAGATTTTGAATACTTTAGGCATTTGATTTTACAGCTATTAAGCACAAAGGACACCTGCAAGTACAATAATATAGTTTCAATATCATCACAGACTCTCTTAATTAATCCATAATTTCAAAATCATATTCTAAATGTGTAGAATGCTACACTGTGGTATCACTGCTAACTAGAAGGAAACAGAAGGGAAGGACACACTGAATTTCTTCAAATGAGAAGCCTAGTCTCTTCATCTTCTTTCACATCTCAACCATAATATTTACTTTGACATAAAGAGAAGACAGGGTATGCCAAAGTAATCACCTGTCACCAAGAAGCTTCAATCGAAATTTTTTCCAACTTCTCTAACAAGGCCACAGGAACATGGCTAAAACTCCAGGACAACACACAGCCTGTCACCTTTCTGGCTAGAATAAATAGCTGTAAGAATTGAAAAAAAAAATCATAAGGGAAAGCACCTCAGGGGTGGTTTATCTAGGAGACAAGTGGCATGGCAGGCATTCCAAACTAATAGTGATTTTCTTGATCCTAAGGAACTAGGCAACCAACCATTTGTTAACCCAGATGCTATGAGTGCACTGAGACATGTTCTCACGTGAGATTTGCTGGTGTATGTTGTCATCGGCCATCTGAAAAACAGTACTTCGGCTGCTGGGGAATAAGTGGGAGAGATTCTCCAATGAAACAACTAGAAAGCAGGTGAGCTGTTGGCAAAGCACAAGATACCCAAGGCTAGACACCGATTCCCACTCTTTACAATTTTATCTTATTTCAAGAAAACAATGCAACAGAGAAAGAGAGATAGGAAGGGTAGGAAAGCTACAAGATGATTTGTTAAGTGTAGGATAGTCACCACCATGGATCTAGTGCAGTCTTGTAGGTCCCAAACAACAGGCAGTGACATCTCGCAGGTCTTCTTTCCCCTTGTTCTTGACAAGTAGGTGGGGAGAGTCTCTCACCCAGCTTCCAATGGTCCCATTTTTATGCAGTCCAAGTCTCACAATTGCCACCCAGTTCCAGGAAAGTTCACACATACGCATGATGGGTGTAGTGTAGGCAATGGTAGGTGCGGTCCGGTTCGGCACAGGCTCCCACCTGTGTCCCAGGTGGTCTCAGGGAGTTGCAAGGGGCTTTCTCAGGGGCCGCATCACACAAGACCCTCCTCAAGGTCAACGACCTAGCAGCCTTACGCCCATGCAGCTACTTGTTGATGGGTACCAAAACTGCAAGGCCAGTCTCAGCCGGTTGCTTAACTGCAAGGCCTTGGTTATTCTGGTAGATGGGAAATCTTGCAAACAGTATTTGAGACATGACATAACTCTCGCCTTCTACACTGAGCTACTGGAGTGAGCCAGTAAAGGGCCATGAAGATATTTAGGAGACTCGAGGATCTCTTATACAAGGAGAGGCTGTTTAGCCTGGAGAAGGTTTGGGGGTGTGCGTAAGTACCCTAACAAGAGGAAACAAACAAGAGGGAGTCAGGCTCTTCTGATCAGTGTGTGGTGACAGGAGAAGAGATAAGGTGTACAAAATGAAATATAGGGAATTCCGTTTAAATGGAAGAAAAAAAAAAAAAATGGGGGTTGCAGAAAGAGTCTGTGAAGACTCCATGTATAGAGATATTAAAAACATGGTAGGCCACAGCCCTGAGCAACCTGTAGGACACTGTTCGAGAATGGGATTGGACTAGACAATCCCTGTGGATCCCTGCCAAATTCCGATATTCTGTGATTCTGTGAGACCTCACAAGTAAGCAGTTTAAATGGCAACACAAAGTGATGTTGTGGTTTGAGGCTTGGAATGGGGTCGTGACCTTCCAGCAACTGGGAGGACCCCGGGTGGGGGTGAAACCATTGTATTCCCTCCCCTTCCCACACACACTCTGATAAGAGGCAGGGAGTGGTTTCTTGTTTCACTCCTGCCTTGGAGCTCCGAGAGGAAAGTTCTCCTTTCACTCTGTGGGACCCTGGAACCATTTCTGAGGGTTTTGTATATTTTATTTTTTGTATAATTCCCCTAATCTTTGTATATATTATTTTCCTTACCTCCCTTTTTCGTTTTCTGTTCCTTGTTGAACAATATACTTCATTTTTTTTCCAAAGTTGTTCTCGCTCTCTGGGGGGGGGGAGAGGCGAGTACATAGTTCTGTTCCGTGTGGGTCCTGCCCTGAACCCCTTTTTACACGGAACCGGGACAAGTGATTAAAGTGAATTTTTCAAGGAAACGGTTGAAAAGCATGTACTCAAACAAATCCTGCATCTGACCTGAAGGAAAGTAAATTCCTAAACTACCTGACCTCTGTCACAGAAGAACCACCTCCTATGACCTAGCCCTTCAATAGCTGACCGACATAAATCCAGCTTTCACACAGAAAACATAAGCTCACAGAAGCAACCTGCAGGAGTGGTGCGCACTTTGTTCCTTGTTAAAAAAAAAAAGGAGAAAAAAATTATCCTAAATATTGGTATGCAAAGTTACTTGCTGCAAAAAGCTATATGGAAGAGGATCAGGATTTTTAAGGCTGGTTTACAGAGACAAAGATTAACAGGAACATTAAAAGGAACATCTTCCAAAGGAAGATGGAAATTTGCACACACCATTGCTTCAGGTAAGGAAATTAAGTGAAATCAGAAGAATTTCTTTTGCACAGATCTCATTTCATAATGCAGACAAATAGCACCCCATTTCTGTCTTTCCAGAGGGCTGCTTAGATGTCAGACGATGTTGCAGAAGTTCAACTTCTCAGTCACGAGTGTCATAGGAAGCAGTGAGAGGTTTAGTTGAAACAGGCATGCCTCAAGGGAATTTTGCAGGTGGCTTTTTGGTACTCCTATTTATGGCTGAGCCATATTTAGATTGAACACAGAGAAGAACTGATGTCTGAGTTTCTAAATCACAGCATTATTTTTAT